TTACAATAAGAATTTTTATGCTTTAAATTTTGAATTTTAATTGTTGAGTACTAATGCAAAATTAAATCTACATTAAAAGTAAATTTAAACTTGGTTTGCTGTTAATTTTCTAACTAGTGACTCTATATTGTATCAATATATTTTTTTTCACATTAGCTTAGTCCTTCAATAATGCATTAAATTCATTTTCAGCCAACTAACTACAGTGTGTGATCGGTTAATGAACAGTTTGGACTGTGAACAAATCGGACAACGAACACTTTTGCGAAAGATTTTTATGTTCGGATAACGAACACCTCACATAACAAACAGAAGAAGAAGCAACATAAAACAGTGAATACCAATTGGTCTTCCCCTTTCTCCAGGTGACAATTTGAAACTTTTTGGAACTCGGGAGACGTCGACGTCAACACTCAATCCAAAACTGATTGGACAGTATTCCTTTGAACTTTGAAACGCTCCATTGTAAATCCAATGTTTTGTTTACCCTTTTGGCAAAGAATTTTTTTATAGTCTTCATGAGTCTGTCTGGTGGGCATGCATTAAGTTTTGTGTCTGTTTTTATTTTCAAAAGGCAAAAGTTTAACTGTCCTGTAGGATATTCATTAACGTTATAACACACAGGCCTCGGAGTCACTCACTTTTCTCAATTTTTTGAAGTATCCTCACTTTTCTCACCTTTCAGGTCATTTTCTTACCTTTTTTGGTCATTTTCACATGCTCAATTAAGATGTGGGACCAATCAAAAATAATTTTAAAGCCAAATGATTTGCCAAATTATTGGACTATCTGACTAGAATTTTCTGGAAGAAAATACTTGGCATGAGCAGGACTTAAAAAAAACTGCAACTTCCTCTTAGTGTTGTTAGGTTATAGGAAACAAAAATTCCTTTCATAGATGTAGAAAGTCTTTCTTGCATTTAAAAAATCTCTCTCATTACAAATTCAGAAGCCAATATTGAGTAAAGTTACGTACTCATGCCATATTGTCATTATTAGCCAAGAGAGCCAATTATTCAGAGTTGCATTTCTATCTAAAGAGATTAAAAATAAGTATTTTAAGCATCCCTACATTTTAAGCATCCCTAGTATTTTAAGCATCCCTACATTAAGCATCCCTACAAGCCTTTAAGCAAGGCTGTTTTATAAGAAAATCCCTTTGTAGGGGAAAACACACTATGCCAAGGGATTAATCTCTCAAGCTGACAACACTGCTGCCGCTTCTAAATTTAAAATATATTATAATTATTAAAATTAACATGAGATAGTGGCGTAACCTCTAGACAAATTATTTCATTTCTGACCATTTAATTATTCTTTTTATAGCCCAATAATTTGGCAGATCATTTGGTTTTAATTAACAATTGGGTTATGGAGTTGTCATTTACAAGAATTTTTTTTACTTTATTTATCTTTAAATAATTTAATAAACTTGAGTTAAATCGAATAAAGTTATTTTAATGATTTCATAGCATATTGTTAATGTTTAATCATATCTATATATTCCTAAATGTATGTGTAAATTGACTACAAGTATAATTATTCCACGTAGTTATTTTCACAAAATGTAAGATTACTTTATTTGTGAAATATCCATTTTTTAAATCTCTTCTCTTGTGCTGATTATAAGTGTGCATTAATTGAGGCTAAAAAAGTAAATGAAATGTAAATTCATATTTACACATTGAATCTTTTAATTTATTTAGTAAATTTTAAGTGTTATAAAAAGTAAAACATGTAATTGCTGGTGGGAAAAATTTTCACACGCTTCCCAAAAGGTTAACAATGTTGTAATGATGTTGCTTTTTATTCATCTGCAGGAAAAAGTTTCTTGTTATTTATGAAATCATTAATAAAACATTATTTTACTTGTACTATTTGAAATCTGTTTATTTCAGATTTATTAATTTATTTTGAAATTAATATTTACATGTCGTGAAGCATTAAAAACATAAACAGTTTCTGATCATGATAGATGTCCCAGTGTAGCCAAATTAGTGAAATTAGCATTGGCCCTCTCTCGTGGCAATGCTGATGTGGAATGGGGATTTTCAATTTCATGATGTGCACTTCCTCCTGATAGGGCATCAATGTTGGAAAGAGTGCTTAAACCATAAAAAAGTAGAAGAAAGTGAAATAGATGCGACAGGCCAAGTTTTGTTAAAAGTAGCAAACAAAAAAAACAACTGGAGAAGGCCATTAACAGCAAGAACATGAAGTACGGGCAACACATGTAATGCTTGTTAGTGTTAAGTGTTCAAAAGCAAGAGGAACCAAAAAAGAAGGAAGCTGAAAACATCCAGAATAATCAGAATGAAAGAACAAATTTTTCATCTTAAATTTAAAAATATTCTTACATGAATACTGGAAAGCATATAAATTAACACTCCTAAACCTTAAAAGTCCAGTAGTAAATATCTAATAGCAAACAAACGTTTTTCGACCGTACTTTCGGTCTTCTTCAGGTTTAAAAAATCAGTGAGATTTGAACAAGTGAATGAGTAGAACAAAATTATGAAATTATTTTCAAAAAATGGAACAGCACAAATGGATTTTAAAAGAATAAACAGTTATGCATGTGCATTGCCATGGCGATGGAATGGTATATGTAATACATACACTGATATAAATACATAAAAATAGACCAAATGGCGGTGAGGTTTCTAACTGCTGGTGTGGGCGTTGCCCGTTCCTTCATAGCAGTACTTCCAAGCGTGTGACACATTGGTGGCATCATTAGAGTTAATGCAATTGGTACGTAATTCGGCTTTGTAAATTTCAAGTGCCTCCAAATTTCTTAGGTGTTCCACATGGTTAGAAAGTTTGATCAGTTTGGCTTCATTAGGTCAGCTCTTATGCCGGGTTCAGTGGCATATGTTGATAGGGCGGTGGTGTGTCTTTTATTAATTTAACGATGTCGTATTTGTGTTCCTGCAATCTTTTATTCAAAGAGTGGACCCAATATAAACAAATTCCCTTTGAAACCTGTTGTCTCAGAGAGGAACCATGAGGCCAAACTGATCAAACTTTCTCACCGTGTGGAACACCTACGAAACTTGGAGGCACTTGAAATTTACAAAGCCGGGTTACGTACCAATTGCATTAACTCTAATGATGCCATCAATGTGTCACACGCTTGGAAGTACTGCTATGAAGGAACGGGCAACGCCCACACCAGCAGTTAGAAACCTCACCGCCATTTGGTCTATTTTAATGTATATATATCAGTGTATGTATTACATATACCATTCCATCGCCATGGCAATGCACATGCATAACTGTTTATTCTTTTAAAATCCATTTGTGCTGTTCCATTTTTTAAAAATAATTTCATAATTTTGTTCTACTCATTCACTTGTTCAAATCTCACTGGTCTTTTAAACCTGAAGAAGACCGAAAGTACGGTCGAAAACGTTTGTTTGCTATTAGATATTTACTACTGGACTTTTAAGGTTTAGGAGTGTTAATTTAAATTTTTCATTACTGATTATTTACAGATGCAAAAGGCTTTTAAGTATTTATGGTTTACTAGATATACAGTAGCTTCTTGTTATATCGCACTTGTCAGGAGACAAAGAAAAAGCACAATATAATTGAGTACTAAAAATTCTGGGTTTATACTAAACAGATTATACATGCTATGCAATCTCTATCCTCTATTTTTTCATCAGCAAGTGTTTTTGATATAAAATAAGCTTAGTTTTTTAATACTGAACTTTATTCTTGGTTATATCATATTAATTGATGTTTACGTAAACATCAATACCACCAATGCCCTCTTAGAATTGTTTCTTTAACTATGACATTTAAAGACAAATACTGTTGATATAAAAACAAAATATCAGTTACAATTTTATTATACAGTATTTAATAAGTTATTTATTTTCACAATAAATCACTTATTAAAAATTTGTGTAATTTATGTTTTTCAGTAAAAATTATAAATCCTGTAATTGAAAATTTTAAAAAATAAATATGAAACATATAATAGAACCATCAAAACTTATAAAATTACAGAGAGTAAAAATTCTCTAAAAAGCAAAATAAAGTTACTACTATATAAAAACTTTCCATTCAGAATTAAAGAAATCTTTTCCTTACACATTATGTGGTGAATTCGAAATTTCACATAAAGTTATGAAATTTCGAATTCACAGAAACTTGTAAATGAGGAGATGTTACTTAAAACTAATAAGTAAACAATTTTTAATATCAAAGGGAAACAAATGACAATTGATATGTCTACCTGTTTTGCATATTTAGATCTTGATGAATTTATTGTTTTACCTTCAGTGGTAGTTTCAAAGACAATGGTAGAAATATGAATACTGTATTTTGTTGCAAATAGAAATTCAATGGCAATTGGTATTTTAAAATTTGGAGGACAAAAAAAAAAAAGCGATATATCCGAATTCATGATATAACAAGTAGCTACTACAGAATTACAGAAATTTTTAAAATGTATTTAACCATAACAGAATAAAAAGAGAAAAAGCAACTTTTACTGCTAAATTTGTTGAGTTTTCCTTCTACGTTTTCAGTTTACTTTTTCACTATTACACTCACTTTTTACTCAATGTTTCTGTATTTCGACTCACTTTTCTCACTTTTACAGAAGGAAAATGACACTCCGAGACCTGAACACAAAATTTCAAATGTTATCTCGGCATCACATTTACATAATTTTTTTGTGCATTAGTTGATTTCTGTTCTCTGAATTTTTGTAAATGCTTTTCTAAACTTTTTATTTAAAAAAGAAACTGATAATATCATGGAGCCTAAAAAGAGGAGTTTCAAGAACTGTGCTCACCACAAAAGCCAAGCAAGGGATAATAGACAAAGCAGAGAGTGGGCAGATGTCTGATGTTGCTAGGCAGTATGGCTTGAACAGGTCTACAGTAGGCTCAATCTTAGTCAAGAAAGAAATAATCAAGATTGAAGCAGTTAAAGGAGTAACGATAAATCACATCTGAGAAATAAAGAACATTGAAGAGCTCATAATGGAACCTGAAACTGATTTGATGACAGAACAACAACAACAAGAAACTCAGCAAGATGTGTTTTCTTCTGAAAAAGAAAAAGATGAAAGAGGACCAATGCTGGCATCTGTTATTAAACATCTTTTTAAGAAGTGGAAGGATGTCAGAACAATGGTCATCCAAATGGCATCCAAACCGGATTGAAGTTAATATGCTTGAGGGATTTCTACAACTCTACAATGCTATTAATTACTTTTGAAAAATTCGGATGAAAAGAGAAAAGCAATTGACACTGGACAGATTCTTTAACCCCCACAAATGGAAAAAAATATGACTTATAAAAATGCAAGACTGTGTGTGTGTGTGTGTGTTTTTTTTTATTATTACATATAAACAAATGCAATAAGAAAGTATATAATATTTTATTTTTGGGGTCTCCAGAACAAATTAATCTAATTCCCATAAAAATCTATGGTAAATTGATAATTGGTTAATGAACAATTCAGGTAGTGAACATAGTCTTGGGATGGATTATGTTTGTTAACTGATCACCCACTGTATTTTACTCCATCAAAATTCTTAGTCTTGGAATAAAATAACCTAGCCTTTGAAGATTAAGAAAAAATTTTAAAAATATATAGTATTATGAAGAAAGACTTAAGAACCTATATGATTAAAATATTCATTTTAATTCTTTAATCCTTTGTGAATAATCATAGATTAAAAAAGTTCCAATTGAAAATATTTAAGATTAAATACATCATTGACTTTGTAACTTTGTAGGTAAAACAGAAGATTAGTTTTTTTGAGTTAATCAAGTGATTGAGCTACATGAAAGTTATACATGACTGTATTATTTTTCATTTCTTTTTCATTGTATAAACGTGGCTAAATCAAAATGTATAACCTTACATTAATTATTATATATTTAATATTTTATTATTAATTTGATGAGTGAAATATATTTAACATGTCTTGTAAATTATTGATTTAACATTCTTTCATTAGACCAGCTGATATTCTTGATGAAAGCCTTGTTTACAGCCAATATGTACTGCTATTTATTTTTAATATGAATTTATTAATAATTAAGACAGTTGTAATTAAAACTTATATTGTCGTCATGATTTGTTTATAAGAAAATAGAAATATTAGATCAGATCAGCAACAGCAACATTCTTATAAGTTTCTAATTACATTTAATAAAAATTAAAAATAAGCAATTTTCTTCTTAATAACATTGTTTTTCAAATTATTTAATTTGTTAACATTTTCCATAGTATTTGTAAATTTCCTTTTTCATTTATTAAAGATAATTATTAAAACTCAAATATTATTAAATAGAAAACCTGGGATCTCATCATAACATGGAGATAAACAATCATTTTAGCCATATTCAAAGAAAAGGTAACTTTTTATTTTCATTGTTACAATAAAGTAGCATGTATTTTGAACTATAACTTGCTGAAAATAAAAATGATTTTATAAATTTGTAAATTTATAAAATCATTTTTATTTTCAGAAATCCAGTGCAACAAGGTGTTATACAATATTTGCAAGTTTTGTAAATAAATAGCAATGTTTAAATACAGTGGTAGATATTTGTTCCTTAATAGAGAAAAACAATCATTATCCTGTCCTTTACTAAAAAAAACATTAAGAAGGATAATCAAAACTACAAAATTAAATAATAATTAAATATAAATTTTTTTGATAAATGGTTCATAGGATCTGTTGGAAATTTTACTGAACAAACAACAAAGAAGTGTAATTAAATAATACTTTTAAAATATAATTTGCAAATATATAAAATTTTTCACAACACATTGTTACCCTGAATACTCTGCAAAATAATTTGGCAATTCACCTTATGAATTATAGTTGATTTTGCTTAATTTGGACTAATCTATTTTAGCCCAATTAAATGGCTGCTCCAATTAAACAAACTAATAATAAATTTTATAATAAAATATGTAATAACTAGGTAAAAAATAATAATTAGGTATCTATTTTAATGCTTTATTAAACCAAAATACAGAAAATATTTGTACTATAAATTTGCTAGACTCACGACAATAGATAACTGATTTGCATAATGCTAGTGTTGCCAAATATTAGTAGTGACAAGGGTTGACTATTCAATCTGTTTTTGATCGAACAATTTTTCCTTTCTTTCTTTTTAGTTATAACATGTTTTAACTAAACAGGGAGAAAGAAAAGCGTTCGTCCAAAAGTCATTTTACAGTCTTCTTTTGAGCACTGTTTCCTTTACTTGGAGATGGGCCACTTTGACGGGAGTGTACATAGAATCTGCCAGCTTGATGCTAGTCTCAACAATCGGATGGCTACTGTCTGAATCTAGACATAATTAAGCACACAATACCTTCCAAGGGTACTCTAGCTGTATTCCAACTTGGTCAAGAGACCTTGAAAAGTTGTCTGGCGATCTTTGTCCCTTTGCTTAGGGGGATCGTTCAGTCCAATCCAGAGCAGGGTCAGTAACTCGCATTCAGGTCCACCTGAGATGAAACACTCATGTGATACGTCCCGCTATACTTATCCCCTTTGGAAAAATTGAACTGCCTGAGCAAAAGACAAAATCGCCTTGTCTCTGCCAATCGTTAAGCCTACATGACATCAGTGTACATAGTGCCTACATATTTTCGGAAGATTACTAAAATATATCGAAAATTGCTAAATTCATTTTCTGCTGCTGTTCCAATTAAGTGATTAAATTATGTATTAATTTATTAGTTTGGTTTCCATTCTTTGAGATTTTGCCCAATAAAGCAGCTGCCCTGATTAATCAAGTGGCCCAATTAAACAGTATCGACTGTATTTCAAACTTTATCAAACTGTATAATAAAATAAACAGTAAAATGAACAATATCTTCAAAATAAATATAAATATAAATTTCTATATAAAAGGGATCATCACACATACAGAAATTGTACCATGTACAGTTAAACCTCAATTTATTATTCCTGTATCAATTGTTTTCTCACATCTATCAGTTGGTTTCCCCAGTTCCAAATAAGGATTCATATATGTAATGCTAATTTTTCCCATATTTTTCATTCCTGATTGTTCCTTTTTCTACAATATTTGTTCTGTATTTTAACTGAAAGAAAAATGTTATCCTGCATCAGTTGTTCTACCCAAAATAGAGGGAGCTAAATTAAAGCACATCATATTTAAAAGTTAAACCCTAATGTTTGTGTACGAAACTAAACCAATTTCCCAAATAGCCTTTCTTAATATACTCTATTTATCTAATAGGATAATAAAATACAGTACTATACTATAATATTGTAATCATAAATAGAGACAGATTATTGTATTTTTCTGGGTAATTCTTGCAATAATTTACACAGCAATTAAGTGTACAGTGGAACCTCGGTATATGACCTTAATCCGTTCCCGATGTTTGGACTTATACCGAATAGGACGTATANTTAGAAAAAAAAGGGAAGAAAAATGCTGCAAAAGCAAGCGATTCATCTTTGAAAGCCAACAATCGATTTTATTCTGTAGAAAAATTTAACAAAGTTATAAACTGTGGCACCGCGAACATCTAGTCTGGTCTAGTACACCAATAGTGCTACTTGTTCATAGATGGTGCGTATAACTGAATTAAGTCGTATATCAAACAAAAGTTGTATACCAAGCAAAATTTGTTTCGTCCAAACAGGACTTATTCCGAATTGGATATATTCTAAAGCAGACGTATACCGAGGTACCATTGTATTTTATTTTATTGTACATATTGGATTCATTTTCTAGTAAATTCACTTAAAGCCACTTTGTTTTAAAAGACATTCATTCATTCATTCATTAGTTTAATTGTACATTTAAAACAAGGTACAAAGTCCTGCCCCGCAGTGAGCATTACAGGAACATATCCGTTACATAGTTCCACCGAGTTACAGTATGCACTAATGAACAAAGCAAAGTGAAAAGAAAAATTTAAAAAAAAATAAATAAATAAATAAAAATAAAAACACAATGACAATAAAAGACCCGAACAAAATATGCAGCAGCTTGCTGCAGCATATAACAGATTACTTATCTGCAGGAATATTTTCGCAAATGAAGGTCGCAGTAAATACAATAATTCTGACAAAGTGTTTAACAGAATTTATCCCGTGCAGAAAATTTGTAAGACAAAGATTTGAGAATCCCATGAGTCCATATATAATATGCGTACAAGTAAAAAAAAAAAAACAAAGTCCACACAGCTAGTAATTGTAAGTATCAATTCCAACACTTTAAACCCAAAAACAGAGAAAGATGATGAAGCTTACATATTTCTTACAGTCAGCAAACACAAATGTATATAGAGAAGTGATGATCTGCTTGTATTAGTTGTTGTGCTAAGGAGCAGAGGTAGCACTATGAATTAAACAATTTGTGTCCTGTAAAGGATTCCATAATTATTAAGGTAAGTAGTCAGCTGTCTTAATATATAAGGCTTTTGCTTTAATGTAGAGTGGACACTCCTTATCCAGTGTGTTATGTTCATGTTTATCTAGGCCACTCCTCAAACAATTAGCACATTTAGGCTTTTCACTTTTCTTTGTACATGTCTTAAACAAATGATCATCACCACAATGGCTACAAACTTTCTTCGGTGATGGGCAACTTGCCGCCAAATGTCCAAAAGCAAGACATTTGTAGCACTGTCGTACAGGGAAAAAATCATAAACCTTGCACGTTTTCCACTGAACATAAAAATATCCTTGTTTTTTAGTCATTGCCCTAACCTCCGGTGACATCTCTAATACCCACGATAAAAACTCGTCATTTCTCTGTTTGATTGAAAATCGAATGTTTAAAACCTTTTTAAACTTCTCCATCGTGTACTTTTCTGTGAAAAAATATTCTGTTCAAGAATATTTTTTCACAGAAATAAGAAGCAACAGAAATAGTTTAACTGTTTTAAAAGACAGTTAAACTATTTCTGCTTTAATTTAGTCACTGTAGCACTAGTGCAGCAAGGTTCAGAGCATTGAAAACAGAAATTAAAATGGTTGCCATCATAAATTATATGCATATTACATACTTCAAATGAAGACTGACATAAAAAAATGTATTTTGAACTGGTTACCAGAAAAATTACAAACATGCTTTTCCATATAATATTCTGTTCTGACATACACAT